TACCTATATTTGCAACATTTTATTTCCCAAAAACAATAAGCAAATGTGAAATATATCATTTGCCAAATGGGGGGCATACAGATTTAGTAATTATTTTCTATAAGGATGAAATATTTTATAACAGAATTTATATTCTGTATAAACTTATCACCAATGTTAGCATGACTAAGGCTGAGATACTACACCAGGGTAACTGGATAAGAATCATGAAGATAATCAAGAGTTAAGATGAACAGTGACTGAAAAGGAACCAGCTCAGTTTTCCCCAATGCTATCGTCAATGAGTTAGGTAAATGAAGGTAAGTGAATACAGAGAAGAAAAACTACAAATTATACACAATTAACCCTAAACTTAACTATTAGGGGAAAAACAATTGGCCACTTTCATTGTATAAGCATAGATGGGCCTTACTCCAATTTTTCCTTCTTTTTTTCCCCAAATAATCTCATGAAGATTTAAATACAATGCTAAATGATAAAAAAGTAGAGAGATGAAGCAGCAAAGATACTTTTTATCAAAGACATTTCAAATATTAAAAGTTAAAAAAAATGAAAAGTATCACTGTGGGAAATTGCAATTCTTTGATGCACTTTCGGAAGAATTCCGAAGGATGGAAAACTCCACGCATTCCTCCCAGCAGTGTATTTTCTCTGTAGTTCTGCTGTTCTGTTATGTTGCAGTTCTGTTGAATAACATAAAACGCTGTGTGATACATCCACACCATTTATATTGCTATGAATTTGCTCTCATAGAGCCACCATATTACATGTATGAGATCAGCACTAGTAATGTAGCAAAAAGTAAAACATGTAAGAGAGTAGGACAGGATGCCACTTACAACAGAGAGCAGAGACAAAGCATTTAAATTCCAATGTATGAAAGTTGGGGAAAATTAAATTTTATCACAACAGTAAAAAAATCAGGCAATAACACAATGTATGTATTCTATATCTACACCTGGTCTCTCTAAAAATTAATATCTGCCTATAAAAAGATTCCTAGAAGAATGAATATGCATGAATCTTTATGTATAACAATCATGCTGCAGAAACTCAAATTAACAAGCAAACAATGAATTGCAACAAACTAAAAGGCTTTTGCACAACAGATAAAGAAGTCAACAGCAAGGAAACACCCTACAGAATGGAAAAATTTTCAAACCATGTATCTGATGAGTTAATACCAAAATGTATATAAATAAAAAGAACTCAACAGCAAGAAAACAACCAAATAAAAAAAATTATTTTCAAGTGGACAAAGGACCTGGATAAAAATAGGTATAGGAAAAAGTTACCCCCATATCTAATTAGCAGGCAAATGCAAATCAAAACTATAATAAAATATCACCTCAAATACATTAGAATGGCTATTATCAAAAAAAAGATGGTAGTGGTACCTCAGTTGACAAAGTGAATTTGTTCTACAGTTTTAGAAAAGATGATCACCTTTGTGTCTGCGTGGGAAAATGACTGCGGGTGTATTTATCACCCAATGCAGAGTTGGAAAATGAAAACAAAATTTTGCCAAATGCTTCTGTTGCACACCAAATTGTTTGCAAACAAAAGCATTCATGAACACAGGCATCACTGTATTATTAGATGAAGGTGAAGAGGAAGGAATCCTTGTACTAAAACCACTATGATCTTATAATCCTACTTCTGGGAATATAGCCAAATGAAAGGAAGTCAGTATGTGGAAAAAATCTCTATGTTCCCAAGTTCACTGCAACATTATTTCCAAAAGTTAAGATGTGGATTCAACCTCTATCCCTAAATGAATGAACTGATTTTTTAAATGTAATATGCTGTACATTTGGGGGCTGCTACATCACACACCCATACAAAATACTAAAATATTTTTATTTGCAACAATGTGCATGATCTTGGAGGACATTTATGTTAAGGACATGAGCCAGACACAAAAGACAAATTCTTCAAGATCTCCTACGTAGGGCCCAAAAAAGTCAAGCTCAAAACAGCATAGACTAGGATACTCATTGCCAGGGGCTAGAGAGAGGGGTGAGGACTGTGGACATGTTTGTTGAAGGCCACCACATTTCAATAAGGATGAATATGATCTAGACATGCAATAAATAGCAAAGAGGTTACAGATCACAATAAAGCATTGTATCCTAGAAAATCACTGAGATAAACCTTAAATGTTCTCACCACAAAAGAAAAATATGCGACATAAAAGTATATGTGGATTACCTTGATTTAATCATTACACACTGTATAAACATCATTTTGTGTACTGTGAATATATTTATTTGTCAATAAAATTTTAAAAGGCAATGATGGGTAAACATTTTGTGGTAGGCACATGTAAGATAATACTACCCCACAATTTAAAGGAAGGAATAAACCAGGGAAATACACAACAACATGTCAACCATAAAAACATGCTGAGTAAAAGAATCTGGATATAAAACATTACAGATAATACAAAGTGTAAGTACCAGTAAACTAACCAACAGCAAGAGAAATCAGAAAATTATTTCCCTCTGCATAAGGCTTGAAAAGGGTACAAGAGAATTTTGTAGAGTGATGGAAATATTCTAAATTTTGATCTCAGTTATGATGACAGGCATGCATGAATTTATCAAAATCCAATGGGGGGACAATAATGGGAATTAAAAAATAGAATTTATATTAAAATGGACTCCAAAAACCTAAAACTCAAATAATCAAATGCACCAGGTAAACACTGATTAGATCTTTTTTAAAAAATTATCTATAAGCCATTCTGTTACAATTGGGAAAACCGGAATTGTACCAGATATTAAGAAATGATCACAATTTTTAAGATGTGATAATGGTACTTTGCAATGAAGAATAATTTTACAAGATGCATGTTGAAATAGGAATAGAGTCAATAATTCAGTTTCAGATGTTCAATAAAAAAGTTTTATATATAAGCAAACATACAGACACAGGGTCATAGGATACAAATATTCCCTAATTGATTCTTCCAGCTGCTCTGTTTGAAAATTTTCATTTAAAATACCAGAAAGAAGATTTCAAGAGGATATATTAAATAAAGAAAAAAAAATACAGAACAGTTTACAAAACAAACTTTCTGTTGTGCAAAAAAGAATAAAAGTAAAAAAGTGATGTATGAAAGCAGTCTGTGTGTGCATCTGACTATATTACAACCAATGAAAATGGTTACCTGGAATAGATGAGGTTAGTGAGAAATAGGTTAGAAGAGATGTAGATTGAAAGTAAAACTTTTGTTTGTTTTTTGTTTTTTGGTACCAGGGATGGAACTCATGACCTCCTGCTTGCCAGGGAGGCGCTTATGCATAAGCCTTGAAAGTAAAACTTCTGAGTATATAATTGTATATGATTTTGATCCTTGCCCATGAAAATGAAAAAAATAAAAGGAAAGGAAAAATCAAAATTGAAAAGATATTAGAAGTATCTCTGGTCATGATTCCTCTTCAGTTAAAGTCAAATTAATCAAGATGTTCAGCTTGTACAGTTACTAATGGTAAGGTTTCTTCCTGAGTATCAGAGACATTTAAAAGGAATTTAAAAATTCAGCAGAAAACTTAATATCTTGTTGCAGATCTGCCCCCAAAATAGATGTAAAGTTCAGCTATGGAATTGCTGGCCAAAATTTCTGCAGACCTAAACAGAAACCAACAGTTGCAGAAGCTTTCTTCTGTATCTTCACTCAAACAGCGCATCCCGCCCCCCCCCCCCCCTTTTAAGAAGCTTCCCTTCGTTAAGACCTAAAACAGTTTTGTGACTTCCCTGTATGTTTGGGTTTGGTGTTGCAGCAGTTCCACTGAAAGTGAGGAAGGCTAGCAAGCAAAGAGTGGGATGCTATAAGCTGGGTTAAATAGTGAAGCTTTGCCTGCAAGCTGCACAGGAAGGAAAGGCAGAGGGCTCAGTGGGGCAGCACAAAGAAGAGTAATCAGTACTTCAGCACACTCTTGAGCCTTCTGAGAACAGAGGAGTTACAGAGGAAGGGGATAGAAGCACGAGTTCTGGTTCCAAACTGTTTATAGTTCTGTCTGTACCTGCAGGACTAATCTGGGGTGCAAAACGGATCTGGAGAGGGTTTTGCTCTACAAGAAGTAAGCCAGAATTTTTATCTGAAGAGGAAACTAAGAGGATTCTCTAAAGAATGCAGGGGAAGCAATTCAAAGCCCCTTGGAAAGGATCTTCAGCAATCACCCAGCCCAGATAGTTTTCTCAGAGCTTGGAGAGCTCTCAGTTGGACCCGGATTTCCACAGCAGCTGGGCCAAGAGCCCTCTTAAACAAGTCTGGAGAGTGGGTGGTTTTGGCAGTTTGGAAAACGAAGAAATAAGGTATTTCCTTAGAAACACTGAGGAGGCCTTTCTGAGAATGACAAGAAAGGTGAGAAGGATTCTCTTTTTTTAGTCCGGAGGACTGGGGACTACAAGTGACTGAAGTGATTTCCGGAGAAGTCAGGTTTCTTCCAGGAAGCCCTGGGAAGAAATGAAAAGGTACCTCGTACTAGGATACATTTCCACAGCTGGGGGTGAAGACTGGATTACTGCCAACCTCTTCACTAACGGGAATCTTGGAATCTGGTCAGAAAGGGCGTGTTTGGAGCCGCGGAGCGACAATCCACAGTCACGACCTGCACTGGAACTGGGGCTAACTACCTAAGACAACAGGGGAGGGGAAGAGGAATTTGAAGAGAACACCATCGCCCCAATACAAGAAAGTCGGAGGCCGGAAAAGTACTCGGATGTGGCTTGGAAATAACTTGAAAGCATCAAAACTAGAAGTTGAGATGCAGCTAGGAGAGCCGAGGTAGTCAGGCCTTTGCGCCGTCGGAGTGGGAAGGCGCTCAAAAAGTGGCGGCCGACGAGGTGCCCTGGAGGCAGGATTCCTCAGGCAGGGGCCGGAGGACGAAGGAAGTCTGAAGGAATACGGGGTTCACGGGGTGGGGGGGTGACCGAAGGGAAGCGTGCGAGTCTGTTTTCCCGGGTCGGGGGTGGGGGGACCGATCGATACTCACAGAGCGGATCTCCAGCGCCAGGGCGCATTGCAGCGCCTTCACCTTCGGCATCCGCGCGAGGTGGGGCGCCGGGGAGGGACCCCGGCCTCCGGCCCGAAAGAGGCAGGGAAACGCGGGGCGGGGCGGGGACGGGGAGATGGCGAGGTGGCGGCGGTGGCAGCTGTGGCCCCCAGGCCGGGGCCCGCGGTCCAGCCTGGGTCCCGCCGGAGCAGTAGCTGAACTCAGGGCGCTGACTCGTTGTCATGGCAGCCAGTAGGGGCGGGGCCGGAAGAGAGGCCTGGCGGGCAAGCGGCGGAGCTGCGCGTAAGGGCCTGCGGCAGAGGGCGGGGCTCAGCGTTCGCAGGCGGGGCAGGGGGCGGGGCTCACAAGGGGAGGGGCGATGGGCGAGCCGCTTATGACGTCACTATGTGAGCCCAAAGCCCGAGGAAAGAGAACAGCTGTACAGTGAGAGGGGAATCAGGACTTTGGAGCTCTGAGTTCCAATGTGGCGGTGCCACCTTGGGCTAGTGCCCTTCCTCTGTGACCTCAGTTTCTTCAGGTGCATAATATGAATAATTATTATGATTGAATTTCACGGTAAAGATTACATAACCAGCGTGAAGAAGCTAAGGATTAGAGATTTATCCAAGGCAGAAGAAGACAGGAATTCGAGAGCTCTTGAGGAAAACCCCAGTTGCCCGTATAAGAAGAATAGCTTGAATCATCACCATGTTCTTAGTTCTGTGATTTCTCTGTTAGTGCAATTCCCCTACCCCAGGGTTCCTGTGTGATTCACCCAATGCATATTGCTTAAATTGGACAGTCAATGAGGGACCAACCACAAATTCAGTTGGGAAGGGTCTAGCCATCAAAGATAAAAAGAACCAGAGAGATTACCCAATCCAATCTTGTTAAAATCACTTATTGCAAAGTACCTCATGTACACAGAAGTGTATCAAACGCACGTATCTTAATAAAGAACGCCTGGGCAACTAGCGCCAGTTACAAAACAGAACATTGCAGCGCCTTGGAAATGGCCTATGTTGTGTTGTCTTTTTATTCTGAAAATAGCAACTATGTTGACTTTTTTTTTTTAAACAAGACTCCCTTTGCTTTCAAATATGCATTTCCAAACAAGACATTTTTAATTTGTCTTTTTGTTGATGTTATTTACATGAAATTAAAACCATATACATTCTGTGACTTGCTTCTCTCACTTGTTTGATTCACCCAGTGTTGATGCAGTATAGTTGAAGTTTATCCCTCTACTGGGCAATATTCCAGTTGTTGGCTGGTGGGAGTAGGGGGAGGGCAAGGAAGATTTTCACGGGTGACATCCCCAAGTTAAAGAACATTTGTGTGCAAGACAGCAGCAGCAAGAGCAGGTAGCATGGAGCAGAGCAAAGCACAAGAATAAAGGAGCATAAGAACAACCTGTCTTTATTGTATAATTCTTATACAAGCTGTTATCGCATATTCTTACATAGTGCCATAACCAGTGCATGCATTTACCTGGGCTAAATCATGGTTAAATAACTGTATCTCACTGTGCACTTGAGCTAGACCGCAGAGTCACGTCCTCAGGTATCCTTAGAGACCCCTGAGTTTTGAAACAGTCTGAGTAGTTCCCCACACCAGTACAGAATGTACAGTATAGTGATTTGTTCATCCTTCCTATTAATGATGATCATTTTTACTGTTTCGATCTTAGCAATGAACACTATTGTTATGAACATTCTAGTCTATATCTTAATGCATGTGGGAGAGTAGGAGCAGATTGACTACTGTGGAACATGTGTTAAGTTATGGAGTAGGACTATTCTCAGTTTGACCACATAATTCCAAGTTGCTATGCAGGGTGTCACACAATCTACACTCTCACCACCTATATTTAAAGATTACAGTGGCCCCACATTCTTCCAAACCCTATCATCAAGCTTTCTTATGTTCTATAAGATGTAAAATATTATCTCACTGATGATTTTTTAGATTATTGACAAGTTTGAGCACATGTTTTTATATACTTACAAATTTTCTACTATCTGTCCTGTATATTATTCGCTGATATCCTTTCCCTTGTTTTCTACTGCAATTTTTATCCTTGCAGGAGTTCTGTGTATTCTAGTTAGTAATTTATAAGTTAATTCAGTGGAAGTTCTCTGTTTTTTGTGGTACTGTGAATTGAATCCAGAGCCTTTACACTGAGTCCTCTTTTTCATTTTTTTATCGAGAGAGAGTCTCATTAAGTTGTTAAATTGCCCACCTTGGTCTCAAACTTTATTCTCCTGCCTCTCAGAATGCTGATTATAGGCATAAGCCACCACATCCAGATAACTGATTCAGTTGTTGACATTGCGGATATCTTTTTCTGATTTCATCTGTGTATAAATTTTATCCAAGGTGTACTTACTTAATTAATAGAAATAACCTAACTTCGGTGTAAATGGATCAAGCCATTTATACCTCATACTTTTGTTTGTGCTTCTGACATTTTAAGCCTCCCTAACCCTAGGTAAACATTATATTTCTTTTATTTTTTCTATAAATATGGTTTTGCCTTTCAAATGTTGATGCTGAATCCCTCAGTATATAATCTTTGTATATGATGTTAAATACTCCCAAATCCAGTTTTGTCCTCCTCTTTTCCAATTCAACTTCTCATCACAATATCCGGTACACACATTTTAAAGGAAGGAAGGTTCATTTTGGTTCACAGCTTCAGAAATTTCAATCCACAATGTGGTGGGAGGGCCTGCCATGCAGGAAGTCTGCTTGCATCATGGTGGCCACAAAGCAAAGAAAGAAAGAAGAAATAAAGGGAGAAGATACACCTTTCCAAGTTACACCCCAATAAGCCACTTCTAACTAGGCCCCACTGCCTACCATAATACAGGGGTAGCCATCTCTGAGAGTATGAGAGTCCTGAGGGACAATACAGGTCCCATTCACAACACTCTTCTAGAAAAAATACTTGAAATTCCCATCCCCAGAGTAAACATTCTATGCATCTCCTCATTGATTTGAGATGTCACCTTCATCATATATTCAATAGTCAAAGTTTTCTGTTCTGTTTCATTGCTCTTTTTGTGAAGTTTTGCAACAGTGTCACACTGCTTTGTTAGTATGGTTTTTTAGTGTCTTGTTTGGCAAGTTTCCTCATTGATGACATAGCTTTAGTTATTTGTGAGCCTTTGCTTTGTTTTAAATTTTAGAGTACTTTTATCAATTTCTCAGACTAAAACTACCCAGTTCAAAGTATCATCCAATGCAGGGGCACAAAGTATGGTTCTATTTATCAGATCATGTTTTATGTCCTTCACTAGAGTTTTAAATTTTCTCCATAGAAACTTATTTAATTACTAAGTATTTGTTATGGCTTGTATCTAGATGTCCCACAAAAGCCTCATGTACTCATAGATGGGACTTTTCAGAGGTGACTGGATCTAGATTGTGAGATGCTAAGATTAAGGATGTGATGCTGGGATTAATTCACGGTGCAATGCTAGGATTAAATGTGCCCCACCTTGGGTATGAGTGCTACCTGCCCTAAGGTGGGTAGTCTAGATATGATGTAAGGGACAGAAAGAGGGCTCTTGTAGTTGCTTTCTGCTTTACTTCTTCACTAATTTGCAGCCTTCTGCCCACCATGAAATGTTTCTCCTCTGTGAAGTCCCTTTGCCATGCCATACTGCCTTGGAGCCGGGCAACTGCAAACTCTACAAACTGTCAGTTCTTCCTTTAACTTTGAGGTTTCAGGTATTTTGTCTTAACAACAAGAAAAATAACAAAGACAATATTTAACTGTAGTTCTTTTGCTTTATGCTATTAACATCAATTCCTTAATTTCTCCATGTACTTACTAATTTGTTATTTCAACTGTACAGATATTTTGTTTTTATAAGTTGACCTGGTAAATCTGTTAAACTCTTCATGCTTGGTGCAGTTTGTCTGCTTGATTATTGCTGCTGATATCCTCATGGAGATTATAACTCCTGTACTATCTTCCTATAACAAATCATCCCAAACTCAGTGGCTTCACATAACACAGCTTTATTATCTTACAGCTCTGTAGGTCAGAAGTCTGACACAGTTCTGGCTGGGCTGTAGAAACCAAATGATCAGTTCCTTTATGAACGCTCTAGGAAGAAATCAATTTCCTTGTCTTTTTCAGCTTCTGGAACCTACAAGCATTCCTTAGATCATGGTCTCCCATCTCTGTTTTCAAAGTCAAAAACTACAAGTCAAGTCTATCACTGAATCATTCTGACCTTCATCCTTCCCTTTCAAGGACTTTGGTTGCATTGAGCCTATCTGTATTAACAGGATACTGTCCTTATCTAAGATCATCTGATTAGCAACACTAATTCCATCTAGAACCCTATTCTCCCTTTGCCATGTAAGTTGTCATATAATTACATGTAGGACTGGGACATCCTTGGGACATTACTAAAAATTCATGAGTTAGTAATGTTGTTGAAAGAGGGGGAAAATTATTGATCAGCTTTGGATGACTTTAAGAACCGAGTCATTCTAGTTCTCCATAAATAAATAGAATTGAGCATTTTTTAGTGTATTTTTCAATGTTCTTTGACTTTTTAATTTTTTATTAGTAAATGTTTGTGATACATAATAAATGCATCCATCATGAAGGAAATATATAGATGTATACAACATCTTGCTCCTTCTTTTTGGTATTTCTTCTCCTTCCTGTCTCCCCATCCTTAGATCCTTTTTCCAACTCCACAGTGTGTGTTTCCTGTCATCTATCTTAACCTTTCCTATCCTATAATCTAAATTTTTTTTATTTCAGATTTCTCATGTAAGAGATACCATGCAATATATAACCTTCTGCATCTAATCTGCTTTACTTAGTGTTGTGGACTCGAAGTACATCCATTTACTACAAATGACTCAAATTTTTCTCTCTGTATGGTTGTTTGGACTATAACCCAGGATAAGCAAAGAGTTTTTACAGAAAAATTTCTTTATAACAAATAACAATGAAGAATTACAATATTCATGGCTGCTAAAATTATTATAAAGAAGTTGTTTGGGAATGTTATACTGTAAATCAGCTTAACAACATTTAAATATACTGATTTTAATATCACAGAGAAAGACAGGCAAAATCTCCCTTATGAAGCGACATTATGAGTACACAATACTACATTTTATGAAAAAAAAAAAAGAGAACAAGAATCTGACTAACTATCCAGCAAAATGCTGGGTGATCGTAGGGAATCATCTTGTGAGATTCCATGACCTCAAGGATCATAGACTTGAGCT